GCGGTTGTCTCTGTAGTGGGGCTGTCTCGGTGACGTTAGTGCAGGAAGACACGGCGCGAGCAGGTGACCGGTGACGCTGCTCTCCCCTTTCCCTGAGCTCAGACATTTGTAGGGAGGGCTGACAGTTCGGGTGTTGGATATATTCACATCCGTGGCTCCAGCACCCCCGTGCGTGAGCCTTGGTCACGGAGAGGTGCCGGTTCTGTCGCGGTTTACCAGGATGCAGTGGGGGAGCACCGGACTGAGGAGAGTGCTGCTCAGGACACAGGCGGGTGTAAGAAACTTGCTGTGTCTGGTGTCATTTCAGCAGTCTGCATTAGCAGGTCTCTGCTTCCCAGAGCAGCGTGAGGCCGTTGGGGAAGGGCCACAGGGGTCCCAAAGGGCAAACGGTCCCCTATGGGGAGATACTGGGAAGCAGCAGAGGTTAAAGAAGGCTGGAAGTTACCAAATACAGAGCCACCTTCCGAAGGTGACTGGCTAGCTTAGAATTCATCTGGCACTGTATTTGTTGGAATAAGCCTCTTGAGTGTTTGTTCTTTCTTGTTTCTGAACACACAGGTCCTGCGGAGCCACAACAACACCTCTAGGCCGCTGTACGTCTCCGTGGGCCACAGGGTGTGCCTGGAGACAGCCGTGCGCCTGGTCAGGTCCTGCTGCAGGTACCGCATCCCGGAGCCCATCCGTCAGGTACGAGCGCAGGGCGCTGAGAGGGGGCCGTGGGTGCCAAGCCTGTGGCGATGTTTCAGAGCCTCAGTTTGCCACTCATCTGCAGCTGACAGCTCTGCAGCTGGCACTCTTCTTGCTGGCCTGCTCGCCCCAGCCCGCCATGGTGGTGTTTACGTGGTGGGTGACGGATCCTTCCTTCCCCCGGCTCGTTCTCCTGACGCAGTGCCCGGAAGCGCACACAGCACTGCAGCCCCAGCCTGACTGATTTCTCGGTTCCTCTCCACAGGCAGCTTCTGTGATGCTGCTGTTGATACACAGGAGCTGGAAACGCAGTTTTCCTGGGCACTTTGAGCCTAGCCCAGACTGCAGTGCTGCTCCTCTGGGCTTTTCCCTACTGCTGCACTCCGCAAGGAGCTGCAGGCTCGCGGCCAGCCGGTAGGTGACAGCACTGGATCACCGTCAGGGAGACGCAGCTGCCACCGAGGCTCAGCTTCAGCCTAATTAAATCGCAGTAGGGCTTGAGGAAAGGATCTGGAGAGGTGGAAAGCCTCTGGGACTTCTGACTTGACCGGTGCCTCCCTTTTCTCAGGGTCACCCTGCTGTCAGTGGCTCAGGCAGGCCAGAGCCAGCACCTGCCCGGGGAGCAGAGCCCTTTCAGGTGTCCGTGTCGGTACTGCCGCCCTGGAACACGCCATTGGCGTTGCTACGCTGCCGTGCTTGTCGGGCGTCCGGCCACCTTTGCTCTGCAGCCCCGCAGAGCAGTACGGAGGTGATCCTGCCGAGGGCTGTCACGCAGTTGCTGCACCCAGGAGCTCCTCACCGGTGCTGCCATGTTTTCTGAAAACAGAGCCTGGAGCCTGTCATTATAAACCAGACAAAAATCTCGCACCTTAGAGGAAAACAAACCCTGAAGCATCCGTACCAGAACTGGAGTTTCTGAGCTCAGAAACCACTACCTGCCAGACGGGAGTAGGCTGAGAGATCTTGCATAATCTCCTCCAGCAAGGGGCAGATGCCTCCGCAGAGCTCTGAGCTAGCTCTGCAGTTCGGTGTGTTCAGAGGAAAGGGGAAAAGCATTCCCTCTGGAAACAAAAAGGTGTCTTGGAGCTTTCCATCACCTCATTTCATTTCCAGCTATCTTCAGTGTTTGTGTTCTGAGACTTCCAGTTCTCTAACTACCACCTTTATTTAAAGCGATGGAAGGAATTGCCTCTCTTGCAGAGATTAAAAATCCAAAAGGGAGCGTGTTTACTGTAGGGGTAGAGGAATGGCAGGAGATAAGGACACTTCAACCTTTCCATGGGACTTCTCCCTGTTGCAGTTTCTCTGTGTGGTAACTGTCACAGATCTTGACAGAGGGCAGTGCTGGAAGCCTCAGCTCTTGAGCACCTGAAGCTGAAGTTAGAAGGCTGTGGGGAGTCCTGCCGTGGATGAGACTTCCTTGGCCTTTTTGCTATGGTTTGTCCCCAGAACAAGCTTGCAGACCTGGTGGGTGATGTGCTTATGGCTTTCCCAGTGTCGTGAAAGACTTCTGGATCATTAGCTCTTGGTTGGTAAGTTTTGGTAGCCCTGGAAGCGTAATGCTCTTACGAGAGCTCAGCTGCCCGTACCTCCTTGAGGCTGTTTGTGGTTTGGAGGGAGGCAGCACTGTGCTGCGGCATGTGTAGTGCTGTGCCACTGTTGTGGGCACTGAAACCTTCTCCTTTCCTAGAGGTACGGCTGGCCAGTCTGTGTAGGGTGTGTGGTGCTGCTTGGGCACACCATGCTGGCTAGGCAGGGATCAGAACAGTTTGATCTGCGCTCAGGCCACAGCGTGGTCACGCTGCCAAAGGAGCTGCGGCTGCGATGCAGCTGAGAGAAGTGATGTCTCAGAGAAAGCAGAGGGAAGGTCATTATCACCTACAAATCGGTATTTACATCCCACTTGGTCCTTATTCCATGTGTAAGTGCAAGGCCAACCCGGGAGAATTTTGTTAGGGATCAGAACAGTTTGATCTGCGCTCAGGCCACAGCGTGGTCACGCTGCCAAAGGAGCTGCGGCTGCGATGCAGCTGAGAGAAGTGATGTCTCAGAGAAAGCAGAGGGAAGGTCATTATCACCTACAAATCGGTATTTACATCCCACTTGGTCCTTATTCCATGTGTAAGTGCAAGGCCAACCCGGGAGAATTTTGTTTGCATGGGGGTGATGTCTCTGCCCAGCCAGCTCGTGAGGTTTTGCGGCTCTTCTGGCAGAGTGTTGGTCATTTGGAGCTGCACAGACAGGGACTGAGGTAGGCAGGACCTGTCATCCCAGAATAATAAGCAAAGCATTCGAACTGCATGGCACTGGAACAATACCAAGCCCTCCTGAGAGCAACTGCCCTTGCCAGCTTCTGGCAGAGGTCAGAACCCCGCTCCAGTGCCTGCCCACGCTCCGAGCCTGCTCAGACCCAGGATCCCCACGCGCGGCGGGGAAGCAGAAGCTTTTAACACCCTCCAGCTGACAAGGATGGCACTGGGGCTGATTCTTCTGCTCTCGCCGTTTCAGGTTCCCAGTTGGCTGCACACCAGCCTCCAGCTCACTTGAGGATCCTTTTAGCTCCAGCTGGCATCTTGCCCAGCAGGTTCCTGCTGGCTCAGGATGTGGCCGATGGGACAGCCTGGTGGTGCTCCAGCCCACCAAGAAGGACAGAAGTGGGCTCTGCCCAGGGCTGTGAATTTCTGCAGGTCACCTCATGTGAAATATTAAGCACTCACCCTTAGGAGAACTGAGAAGTCAGCCATCATCCCTCTCCTCTGTGTGAGTAGCTCCTGCTGCACAGCAGGGAAATCAGCAGCTGATACCCTGAAACTCTTTAACTCCCTTCAGATGTGCCCCCCTGCTGCCAGCTTGATGGGAACACAGGGATCACCACTGCCCCTCATAAAACAGGCAAAGCAACAATTCCAGACCCTAATGCCAGCACTAGTCCCCTCTGAAAATAGAAACAATCTGTGAGGATTATTACGGGACAGTTATCCATCTTATTGATTAGCCTCTTGGTTAATACGCTGGGTTAAGCTCTCTCAGCACTGTGTTAGGAGTGAGGGCTGGCCAGTAACTTGCCACCTAATCAAGCATTAGCTTGTGTTACCAGCAGAATGTGGTTGGGGTTTTTCTTCCCTAGAAAAACAGTCTGTAGATGTGACTCTTGCTACCTTGGTCTCCCAGTAGGGACTCTATTGAACAACCTCCTTCCCTTGTTATAAAATCCATCACGTAATCTCTTATCTTGAAGAGTGATCAAAGTTATTTGTCAGTTCAGTTATGAAACTGTCCAATTATAGAGAGAAGGGAAAAAAAAATCTCCCAAACAAACTACCCCTTATGTAACTATTTTTCATTCTCGAGCTTGCAGAATCGTTAAGCAGTTGTGGAGCTGCGTTTCCAGCAGTAAGCAGGCAGAGCCTCCACCCGAGAGCTCTGACTATGAGTGGCAGGGATGGAGGGGTGGTGGGGACCTTCTTGAGGTGCTGGAGAGTCTCTTCAGAAGTAGAACAGCGCTGAGAGTAGCAAATGTTTCAAGGACAGCCACTGGGGATGCGTTAACCCACTTTATTAGCATGATCATCGTGTGCTGTGAAGCTTTTCCAGCTGGGAAGGTCGCAGTGGAGAGAGACTCTGCCTTTGAGGTGGGGCCCAGCAGCTGATTTAAATGTCACGCTGTAGCAGTGGTTTTGAGAAAGGAAGTTTCTAAAAAAAAAGAAGAAAACTTTGAGGGAATGTAAAAATCAACTGCCAGTTCTCAAAGTTGCCCAGCAGCCCAAAATCGGTGTGCCTGTGACAGCATCTGAGAGTCTTCTGCTAGTGTGGTGCCACACTGGAATAACGCTTCTGGGGGGCAAGAACATCCAGTAAGTGTCCAGCAACGCTATCTTATAGCTCTTGGGATTTCTGCTGGTGTTCTCCTTGCCCCACTCTGACCTGATTGCCGATAAGGCACGGCCGTCTAGTTTACCTGGTGAGCTCAGGAGGGCTCATGTCACAGGAGAGCGTGTCAGAAGAGGAAAGGAAGAACTGGGCCCTTGCATGAGGATGAGTTTGATGAGGTTTGGTGATGGCTCCGAGCTCAATTTCAAATGAGGAGGGCAGTAAACCATGGGTTTGGTGGGGTCTCAACGCTGCTCCTTTTCATTTTGGTGCCGGAAAGCAGAGCCCGGAGCACGGATACGCCCGGCCTTGCCTGCCCTGGCGGTGTTGCCTGCCTTCCAGCTTTGCCTTCGGGCTCCTCAGGTAGGGCAGCGTGAAAGGTGTGTCAGTCACTCGCCTTGCAGCTGCTGCCCAGAAGCGACAGGGCCAAGGATGTGCTCGTGGCTCATCTCTATCTGCTTCTGGGGGAGGTTTCTACCCGCTGTAGCTGCATGATTGCCCGTCAGCACGCAGGCGGGATGAGCCAGACCCTCGCCTGGGGAGAAGGCTGCGCAGCAGACGAGTGTGCGCTTCTCCATCTGTTGCTGCATCCTGCAACTGTTGGAATGGAGGAAGGAAGGAGATGGGTACAAGGCTGGGCAATGCCAGCTTCTCTGTTTTCACCCCCTGTCCTCTGGAGAGCTCGCCTGCTGCACAGCCGGGTTCCCAAACCCTTCACAGCCCTGGCCCCGCTCTCCCTCTCAATTTGCAGTTTCCTGTGGAGGGCAGAGTCCCACTTCTCAGCTGATTAGTGACCAGAAAAGCTCATCCTTTGGGAACATCACAGTGGCACAGCTGTAAAGACCGTGGAGGATCTTGGAGTGCTGTGAGCCTGGCGGCTGCAGCCTGCACCTGCCTGCAGTGCCAGTGGGAGTCCCTGTTAGCATAGTCCTGGGACACAGCTTCTGGTGCACCGAGCGGGCGGTGAAGGTTGTTGCAGCAGAGTCCGTGGGGCACTCTGCTGCTCTGGGACAAGTCCATAAAATGCTCCAGTAGTTCCCTACCTTCGAGGAGGGGTCTCTGAGCCCCTGTCTCATGCTAAATTGCCTTGCAGAGATCTGCCTTTGCAGAGCTTAGCTGCTCGTTACATTTTCCTGCGTTGCCTTTGGAGGTGCCTGCATGTGGCAGAAGTCGTTTGGGTCGATTCAGAGGCTGAAAGCACTTGACCACCCTCAGATTCCCAGGTCTCCTCCGGTCTGGCTCTGCTGCCAGCGTTCATCAAAGAGGGGTTGCAGTTCTGGCACAGAGATAAGGCACGATGGAAAAGCAGCCCATCGCCTCAGCAACCCTCCCCTTGCTAGCAAACACCTCTTCTTAGGAAGCCTCTGGAAATCCTTTCTGGCCTGTCACATCCCTGGATGATGAGGAGGGCATCTTAGGAACCACTCCGCAGAGGGAGGGATTCCAGCGGGGCTGGGGCTTGCTGCAGGAAGGCTGGTGGAAGCCTGGGCTGCTTCGTCCTCGGGGCCCCGTAGGGACCCTTGGTGAGGGCTGAGCGCACTCAGCCGCAGCCTGGGCCCTGCTTTGGCTGCTCATCCTGCCGTGCCTAGGGTAGGTCAGGGCTGGGCGGACCTTAGGCACTGGCTGACAGGAGCTGCCTGTGCCCAAGGTCTCACCTCATTCCTCCTATGAGAAGTAAAGGGGCACTAGCAGGGGTTCAGCAAATGTCATTTCTGCTTCTGAAATGGGCTGTGCTCAAGGCTGTTTGATCCAGGACCCTCTGCTGCTTCATTTTAAGTCTTCATCCTCCCAAGCATCTGGCAGTGAGGCAGAGAGACCAAACAAGGGAAGAAACACGCAGGTTCCTCTTTGCAACCTGGTCAGACAAGACTGTTTGCGATGTGCTGACATCAGGGTGCACAGGGACACACGGAGATAACACAGAGGAGGCACCCAGCAGCCCGATCCATCCCTTTTCACTCGTTTTCCTCCTTAATTCTAGGCTGATATCAGATCAAGGGAGTATATTCGGAAGCAGCTGTGTTCACCACTGGAGGTCATCCCTTCTGGGCCAGAGAGGTAGGTGTGTGGGCAGCCCAAGCAGCTGCCTCTCCAAAGGGGATCTGCTCATGTAATGCTCTTCAGTAATGGCATTAAAGGGACAGACAGGGTAACAAGGTGAGCTCAAGTGACATCAGGACATATGCTGCCTCCATAAAGGCTGATTTCTGGTGATGGTAGCCATGCTGCCTCACACGTTTCTTCCGCAGAGCGCCGTGTCCTGGGCTGGGGAAGGTCGCTGGGGATTTGGGCTGTTTCTGGCACCTGCGCTCAGCAAAGCGCTAACGCCCACAGGTGTGACACGAGGGTGGACGGAAATATCCTGCGGGGAGCTGGTTTCTGCCTCCAGAAAGCAAAGGGAGGGTCAGGCTCCCTCACTCTTAGGTAACGTGGGCCAGCGGCTGCTCCGCGTGTCGGCGTGAACCACAGCGAGGCCACCGAGGCGCAGGAGTTCCTCGTGCTAGCCTCTTCGGCAGAGCTCGCAGGGTGCTGGGGGGCTCCCTCGGGCCACACCAGTGCCAGGCTGGACAGACACCAGGCAGCCCTGCCTGGAGAGCTGCTTGGGGGTGACTGCAGTGTGCCAGGACTCCAAGCCCACCCTGCTCCGAGGGTGCTGATGGACCAGAAGGAGGGAAGGTTGCCGGTGGCAGCAGGGAGGCATTACTTATGCCGACCGAGGCAGCTCTTACAGGTTACTTAGGACACCTGCCTGGTGCAACTCCTGCTGCTCTGCTCAGCTCCTCTGCTCCTTGGGTCGTGCAGCCAGAAGCGAAAGAAGGGGCTTTCGCTGCTCTTTTAGTGGCGGTTGTGCAGCGTGGCCAGGCCGTGGGGGTGGCCCTGGGCAGTGCCAGGCTGGGCGTCCCCTGTTTGTGCTGGAGCTTCATCTCTAACACCTTCCTGCCATGGCAGATGCTGAAGCTCGCACAAAGGCTAGCTAGTCTGGAGGTTTGTGCAACAGAAGAACCAAACTCATTCCGTTTATGACCATATCTCTCAAAACCTGTGTCTCTGAGCCCCTTATTCACCGAGTGACACAGTTATTTGGTCTTCATGATTTCTACTTTTTAAGCCTGTGACCCTTGGTTTTGTTCCTAGCAGAAAAAAGGAGGCTGAGCCAGATGATTAGTCTGATGCCAGAAGAAACTGCAGGGCTCCTCTTCGTGGGATCCTCTCCTCCACCAAGCCTGTGGTCCCATCGAGTGCACGAGCCGAGCGCCACCCCAGGGGAGAGCAGTGCGAGGCCGGGCAAGGCCAGCCGCTGTGCGTGGTTCTGGTGGACAGACCAGCTTCTCAGGGTCGATTTTTTTAAGCGTTTTATCAATATTTGTGTAAGCAAAGGTACATTTGTAAGTGTCCAAAAACTTCCTGGAGTCTTTGGGCTATGGCAGGAGGTGATTTGCAAAGAGATGCCGAGGCGCTGAGTTACAAACTCCAGAGCTGGCCTTTGGCTCCCACCACGCCTCTGTGGCACAGAGACGTCCCTTCTCATTGTTTTTGGAACAGCTCCCACCCGGTCCCATGCTCTCGCCTTCGCTTTGCATGGCTCTGAGGAACGGAAGCCCAGCGCACAGCTCCGGCTGGTCCTGACAGACGGGCAGAGGACGCTGTGTTTCAGGTGGGCGTGTGACTCACGAGGGAGGGGACGGAGCCAACAGTCTGCTGCGGAGTTTGGAAGAGGCTCGGGAGGTCTGAGCTCCGGTACCTGAAAAGCTCTCTGTCTGTCCGGTGCCGGTGGCTCCTGCGTGCCTGCTGCCTCGGTGCCATGCGGCAGCCACCAGGCCACGGTGGCCGCGTGCGGGGCGTTCCCTGTGCTGGGCACGTGGTGCTCTGGTGCTGCTGGTCTGGGTGGGAGCTCACTCTGCGCTGCTGGCGAAGCACAGCTCGGATGGAAGAGCATTGTGGTGCCCAGGCTCGCTTGGCGTTACTGTGACCCTCTCCCCTGAGGCAGGGGCTCACGGTGCAGCCCTGCTCTTCCTGGAGGGAAGCTCATCTCAGGGGAAAGGAGAATTTCCCATCAAGGCGAGTGAGGAGGGAGGTCCTTCCTAACACACAAGTCAGGGTGGCCAGATCCCAGGCTTGAGTTTTTTGCAGTCTGAGCAGACTGGGAGCACTGGTGCCAGGTCAGGAGGAGACTCTCTGTGCCCAGTTCTCTTGGACCGACACCCGTCCGTTAAGCTGCTGGTGAAGCTTTGCTTTAGCAGCAGAGCGCAGAACAAACGGTTTCTGTCCCTGAATCAATACAGTGAGTCTCCTCCAATTTGCAGGGCTAAACCTTTTCCTCCAAAGGTGTGGGTTCCTCGTTGTATTCAGCAGGTTATTCCTGACCATTTCCAAAGAAAATCGGAGCAGATACATGAGTTCTTGAACACAGCCAAAACCCTGGCCTGTTGATTTACACAAACACGGCTGTGTAAGATTCCAGCCTGAAGAAGAAGGATGTTTTCCTGGGATTGGAGAGGGGTGCTCAGGGTCAGGACTCCTGTGGTCTGTTTAAATGCTGCCCAGCCCTTCACTTACACATTAATTTACTTTGCAGCTTTTGTTGCTCTTTTTCTTGCCGCCACCTCGGTCTCGGTGCTGCTTTGGGTACGGAGGACATTGAGCGCCTTCCGTGTGTCTGTGCAGCATCTGCTGGATGGGACCCTGGGCCGGTTCCTCCTTCAGCGCTACACCCTGAAACCCGGGTGGGAAAAAGGGAGGGAGCAACAAACCCGGCTCCTCTGAGGTGCGTTTGGGGAGCTTTGCTGGGCCGGTCCTCGGGAGTGTTGCAGAGGGGGAGAGGTGCTGGCGGGGTGCTTCCCAAAATCCCCTTGCTGATATGTTTTAAAAGACAGAGCCAGCAGCAGCTGCAGTTTTCAAGCCTGGGGAGGGAGCCTGCTGTCTCCTGCGAAGCCTCAAAGCCGTTTTCACACGGGAGATTGTTACGTGGGTGGACAGAGGCCAGGAAGGGAAAACCATGGTGGTGAAATCAAAAAAAAACGGTGTGGGCTCAGAGTGGCTGCCTGGCAGGCCAGGGGAAGAGGAAGCGTTTGGTTTGGCGTCTGACTCCGGCTTTGGGAGGGGATGAGGTGCAGGAGCTGGTGGGCAGGAGCTGGTGGGCAGCCCTCCCGGGCCGAGGGGGTGTTTGCCCACGAGAGGGTTGGGGTGTGCCAGTCAGTAGCGGTTCTGCAGCCAAAGGGGTGAGTTGGGCTGCGCTGAGCCCGGTTTCTCCATGGGAAGGTGAGGCTCTTGCTGGGAGTTGCCTCCTCCTGCTGGGCTCCGGGCTTTTTTGGTACCTGGAGGGTCTGTGCTCGCCCTGCGGGAGAGCTGGGGCTGGGAGCTGCTGTCTCCAGCCTGCCTCGCTGCAGGGGCCATGCCTCTGCCTGGGGCGGGGTAAAGTGGGGAAAAAAGTTCGTATAAAAAGAAAGGCGAAACGCGCGGCTGTGCACAGCTTCCCCCAGACACCGCTGCCGCGAGGTGACGTGTCTCTGCACTCTTCTTGTTCTGAGAGCAGGTAAACTCCTGAGATCAGATGGCTTTGGGTTAAAGTCACCTTGACGGGGTTTAGATGGAGGATGGGTGTTGCCTCGGTGGTGAGACCTTGCAGCCCCGGTGGAGCTGAGGGCTCTGTCCTGCTGGGGGTTGGCGTTTCCCTGGGCCGTGCGACACAATCTCTGCTGCCAAAACCCGGGGAGGCAGTTAAACAAATGGACTAATCTCTGTGTTTGGTGTCTGCTTGTGGCTCCCTGAACACAATAAGGGATTAACTTGGTCTTTATCTAATTGGCTTATAAACTGGGGAAGGGAAAATCGCTTTGTAATGCATGAAACCTCCTCTTAATAGAAACCCAGAGACTAGAGCCGAGTGTCCTTCCTGAGTAAACTCATGCACATCTCTTCCTTTTTAACTCTCCGTTTGCTGGAAATTAGCTCTTCTGGGTGTTAGATATTTGTTCTCTGGTTCCCAATGACTTACTGCAGACTTGTCATAAAGCCCTGCCTGTCATTATCACCAAGGATACTTTTCTCTTTAACGTTTCTGTGACTGTTCAGGAGTCTCTGGACGGGGTCTCATGGCCTAGTAACTCCAGTGCTGCTGATGAACAAGGTGTAGAAACCGAAGGGGAGGAAGATGGAGAGATGAAGGAAGGAGATTGAATCCTCTCTTGTGGCTGCACTGGGGGCTCTAAAAAAAAATAAGAGGAGGTTTTGGGATAGTTCTTCAGCTTCTCCCTCCAGTGAAATAGAGTTCCGTAGCCCAATCCTTGCCCTTCTGCTGTGTGTCCCGAGGACAGATTAAGGCTGCCTGACTGCCTTTGATTGAACTCATCTGCCACCTCTGCTGCCTTCTCCTTCGGCCGGTGCTGCCAGGAGGGGCTGGGCTGGAGGACTGGCATCCTCCCGCTCTGCTCTGAGCGGCTGCCCCGCAGCCCGTCCTGCTGGGCTGGGATGTCCTGGCTCCCTGCACGGGATGCGGCACCGGGGCAGCTCTGCCCAATGGTTCCTGCTGGGGTCGTGTTGGGGTGCGGAGCGTGCCTGACCCCTGCCCGAGACCGTGCTGCTCGGAGGGGACGTGTGACAGGAACGCTGTAACAAGCTGCCTCTTCTGGGGAAGGCTTGGGTCAGCCTGGCCTGCGCAGCCTCCCGTGCACGGCACCTGCTTCCTGAGCCAGGGCGGTGAGGAGGGGTCTGCGCCTCCCCCCGGGGCTCCCTGCCGCGGCCCCGCAGCCAGCTCCTTCCTCTGGGCAGCTGGTAATTAAAGCAGGAACCATTTCTTGGCTGAACTGGTGGGGAAGCCGGAGGCAGCCGCTCGCCCTGCTGGGATGCACATGTTGGAGAGCCCGTCCTGGCCACCGTGCCGTGGGCTCGTCGACAGGCACAACCTGCGCCGGCTTAATTAAACCTGAGCCGCCCCATGCGGAGCCTCCTCGCTGCAAGCTCGGCTGCTGCAGGTCAGGCTCAGCAGTGAGAGGCAGATCAAAGGCTGCTTAAGAGCTTCTCCTGAGCTGGCGTGAGGAAACAAACAAAAAAAGCTGAAC